GCTAACCTTTTAAACCACAACAACAATAACAAACAACAGCATTTTGGTCGCCGAAGCCGTCAGCAGTTACTTGGCCAATCGATTTCTTCCAGCTCCACCTGGCCACCACACACACACACACGTACGCTTGTGTGCATTTATGTCTGCCTTTTTTTTTGCTTTTTCAACGTCTATCTTTGCTTCTTACTTCTTTACTGGCTGCTTTTCAAATCTGCTTTTTGGCATCTTTTCATTATCAATATTTGCTGCTGTTGTTGCCACTGCGCTTCTTCTGCGCAGCTTTATGGGTACGCCAGCAGTTGTTGTGAAGATTTGTGGATCGCTATGAGAAGCACTGACAATATAGATAGCTGCTTTATTATTCTTGTACTTGAGGTTTGTTTCGAGGTCTACTGTCTGACTTAATATAGTGGCTGAGCGATTTTTGTTTTTTTTTTTCAGTTTGAAATAAAACAAAATTTAGTAAATAAAATAAAATAAGAAATAAAAATAAAAGATATAATAAAAAAATGAAATGAAATGAAATTAAATTAAACTAAACTAAACTATTAAATTAAATTAAATAATGTTAGATTAAATTTATAAATATGTCAATAAAAAGAGTTTTCCAATAAAATTGAACAAAATAAAAAATAAATAAAATAAAAAATTAAATAAATAAAATAATATAAAAAGTTAAATAATGTCAAATTAAATTTACAAATATGGCAATAATAAATAAAATAAAATGAAATCAAACAAGATAAATTAAAGCTCAATAAACTAAAATTAAATTAAATCAAAAAAATTAAATTAAATTAAATATAATATAATATAATATAATAAAACAATAAACCAAATTAAAAAATGATAAACATAAAAAAAATGCATACAAAAAAAATAGAAATAAGATTAAAAAATAAAAGAAAAAAAAATAGTAAAGAAGTTAATTACTTAATTAAGCAAACAAACTAACTAAGGAAAGTATTATTAGTTTCTAAAAATAAAACAAAATTAATTATAGTAATGTTATTTAAAAAAAATTTTTATTAAATTAATTAAAAGAAATAAAGAAATAAAATGTAAAATGTATTAATAAATAACTTTTAATAAAAAGGAAAACGTTGTCTATTATTTCTTAAAAAATGAATCTATACAAAAAACTAAAAATTAAAATTCATAAATAATATTTAAATTATAAATTTCAAATTAAGAAATAAATAAAATAAAAATACTGAGATTTTTCTCAGCTGAATTAAAATGATTTATTATTTCTATTAAATAAAGTTACAACTGCAGCTTTTTATATATTACGAAGTCGCACTTTGTGTTATATATATTAACCATATTATTTTCGTGCCTCAAAAGGCCTCAAATTTTCCATAAGCCCATTTGCACTGTGACATTTTTACATGATTTATTTAAATTTTGTTTTTCATGACTGTCACGATTGACTTGAAAATTCGTCTTACCAGCGCACTTTGTCTCCGGTGGTCTCGTACGCTAAGCTTTTCGAAATACACACACACACACACACATACACACAGATGTACGAGCATGTCCCTTGCACGACTGCACAGCTCGCGCTTCAAGCCTAAATACATGTGTGCCGCTATTGTTGTTGCTGTTGCGGTTGCTAGTTGTTACTTCCAACTGGCAGTCTTTAATTTAGGTACTTTCTTGATTTGTAGTTGTTACTGTAGCACGTTGCTCGTTGCTCATTTTGTTATATATTTTTCGTTTTTTTTTTTTAATTTAATTTTATAGTTTTTGTTTTTTCATGCTGGCGGCGCTGCAAACTGGTTTTAACTGTTGACTTAAACGCGCTCTCAGTGTTGTTGTCATTGTTGCTGTTGCTTTTCAGCTTTTTATTATTTCAATTTTTGTCAGTTTTTGTTTCTGCAAGCTCATTGTAGTTGTTTGTGTCGTTGCTGCTATACAATTTTACCCTGTTTTCTCGTTTCCTGCTTGCTTGTTGTTGTTGTTTCTTCCTAGCTTAAATTGTTATTTACTAACTTAACATAAGTTTTAGTTTTAGATTTTTTCAGTTTTCCGTTGCCCGCAATTATTTGTCTTTCTTATTTTTGAGCTTAACTGAAAGTATTTTGCTATAAACACACATACATGTGTATGTGTCTATATATACCTATATATTTATTTATATACTCAACATACATTTGCATGGTTTTGCGCTACAATTGTTACTGTCTGCTCAAAGAGGTCAAATAAACTGTTTGTTAGTGTGCGTAATCACTTTTTGTTGTTGTTGTTATTGTTGTTATGAGTAATACTCACAATCTCTGTAAACCGCTTTTTGCTGATCAATAACTTTTTAATCATAATTCGTAAAATTAGTCGAATCTAGAATCTACCGTTTTTTGTGAGTTTTAAATGGCTGCTTTAATGAAAGAATTTTTTATTAAAATTTATACCTACTTATAAATGTTTGAAGTTTCATTACTGCTCATGTGGGTCTTTCGTGTGACCTCAGCATATCAGCATGCCGAAAAGCTGCCGCAGCCTCTTTCTAACTCAATACTGTTCGAAGCAAAATTTTTTTTTTATTTTTGGTTTTTTTGTGAAATTTTCCAATCAATCGCGTCGCGAATTTAATTTTTATGCAAAACGACTGCTATTCATGCGATTGTTAGCTGTGAAAGTTTTAATTTGTATTTGTGTCAACCGGTAAATTTATGGGCGTCTAAGCATATGTTTTGTTTCTTAGTCACTAAATGTACATATTTATTTAATAAATGTATATATGCATATGTTTGTGATCATATGCAAATACTTAGTTAATTTTCGTCATTGTTTATTTTTCTAGCATATGCTAATTTTTGCATATTTTAGTGAACTGCTCATTTTCGGCGATTTTTTAAGAAAAAATTTCAAAAAGAAATCCGAAGAATGCTATGAACACATATTTCATTCCTTTCTGTTTATAAATAAATGATGGCTTCACTGATGAATAGTTGTTATTTCAGCCTATGAAAGCTTTATAAAATATTTAGTATTAAATTAGGCCTGAAAGCTGAAATTTATTCCTTATTGTTAAATTTTAAAAAATTCTATTGTTTACTGAACAAAATGTGAGAATTTCTAAAGTATTTATACTTGTTTGGACCTTATATTTTTTTTGTTTTAATAGATATTTTAATTGACAATGATTTTAAGTATTTGCAATATTTTTGAAAACTGACGCACAAGAAAAAATATTCTTTCTAAAACAAAAAAAAAAAAATCAGTAAATGAATCGGTTATTGCAACTTTGTGTTTCAATTTAGCCAAACTTTATTTCGGAGTATTCAAAGAGAAACTCCATGAAGCTTCTTGAATCATAATATTTAAAAGATGTTGGAACTTAAAAAATACTAAAATAATTTGGATGAGAATTATTTCCTATTTATCCATAATAATAATCCATACGTTTCAAAACCTTGATTGCTGTGGCGCTTGCCTGTAAATAAGCAATATACTTCAAAAACACACAATTTACAATTGAAAATCTGAATTTTAACGAAATTTATTTAACAATTAATTAATTGGCAATTAGCGCTTAATTGACATTAAATTTGTGTAAACCTGTTTACTTGTAAGTTGTAAGCGTTTGTTCGATTAGACATCAAAATGTCAAAAGTCATGCAATGAAGGAAGTATTCTGCGCTTAATTTTAAACAAACTGCCAATCATAAAATATTAACAAGCAACACTAATAATATCTATAATGAAGTAAAAATTAAAGCTTTGAACAAAATCGCATACTACTTGTATTAATTGAAAAAAGATCCAGCCTTCAGTGAGTTTTGTTATAGTATAGCGAATAACATCCACTGTTGACTTAATTGCTTAAGGCTTGAGAAAATATAACTAAAATTTGTATATCAAAATAATTTACTCTTAATTTTGATTCTATTAGTTAATAAAGCTCAATAATTATTTGAGTTTTTCTGCATTTTTCTCACACAAAAAAATGCACAATTTTAAAATTGATAAAAGTAACTAAATTGACAACATTAATTGTGTGCTTAATTGACTGTGTGTGAACAAGAAATTCGTCTACTCAATTTAAAACTTAATTGCCTCAAAATTTTTCTAAAAATTCACCACGTGGTACTTGGTATATGGTTTTGTGTTATAAAAAAAATATGATTCTTTTTTCAGAACAGTTTACATGAAAATTAAGCTCTGAAGATTAGAAAAGATATATATTTAGCATTTTTATTTAATTTAATTTATTTAATAAAAAAAAAAATCTTGTCTAGGCAGTAAATTTGAAGCAATCGCATTTAATTTGTTTTATCAACTTCATGCAAACTGGAAATTCTTTAATCTTCTTACTAATTAAAATAATTTATAATGGAGTCAAGTGTTGGCAATTTGTTACGAAAATGCAAGGTAAAGAAACATTTTTCTAGTTAATTGTCGAATCTTTAAACAACTTCACCCTCGAAGCGTTGAGAAAGAGTCACACGCAGGATTACGTATTTTTTAATTAAAATATTTTAATTTAAAAATTGAAAATGTAGTTTCAAATTAAAATCTAACTTTTGATTCAAAATCAGACTTAAAAACTGATAAAATATAAATCGTTTCAATGTGTAAGTTTGCTGCCCCAGAGTATGGAATATGAAGGCTTTCAATAAACAAATTTAAGTTTTTAATTATAAACTGAGGTTTAACATTTTTTATTTTTCAATACAGAATTTTGGTTTAAAACTTTTTTCGAACACGGTATTTGGAGTTAGAAATGTGAAAATTATTTTAAATTGAGATTTTCGAATTTACAAAAAAAAAAATTATTTAAATACTAATCATTTTTTTGATGCATTATTTGCAACCGTGCAAATGAGTCGCTAAATCAATATCAAGAGAACTAATTGGTTCCAATAACTTCAACTGAAATGTTTGTCACTCAAGGTAGGTCATTCTACAATACTTTCTAAACACTTTATTTTCAACCCTATAACAATTTGATTAAAAAAACCATAGCAACATATTACAAACTATTGTCTAAAACTTACCTTTTTTAAAACATGCGAAGGCACCTTCTTTCCATCAGCTGCTGTTGACTCAACGAAAAAAATCCCAAACCACGTTCTGCTGTTAAAATCGCAAAATTTTCGCACCGAATAGAGTCACCAATAACACAATTCAAAGCTTTTTTTTGAACTTCACACAAAATGCAGTTAAGCGCACGAACTCGCCCACTGTCGCAGACACTTTACGAGTTTAAGATTATGCGTCCGAAACTTTGTTATTCAATTTGCTTGCTTTTTTTCTAAGCGCTTACAGCACTTTTCCGCTGTCTTTCCTTTCCCCTGCAGAATTTCTAGAATTTTTCACGTAACGGCTTTTTCCGCGTACTTTTTTCGCACTTTAAACGCCGACAACTGCAGGTTTTCGTTGCATTCGTAATCGCCTGCGTGTGTGTGTGTTTGTTGATTTTATTTTTACTTTGCTGGCTTTTTCGCCACTTTACAACAGTTTATTATTATTGTGGCTGTCGTTTGTGTTGTTGTTGTTGTTTTTGTTGCCACAGTCGCGCAGTCTCTTAATATATGTGTGTATTTTAACGATTTTTATGGCCAATAATAAACCAAATACACGCGAAACAAAGACAAAAACGTGCAATAACAGCGGCGTACTGCAGCTGCAATGCGCTTGGGCGCGCTGAAGAAGAAGCAGCAGCAGAGAGGCAGCGGCCAAGCACCGTGGAACGACAGTTGGTGGCAAAAGGAGGAAATGCAGCAGGCGAATTGCGCACGCAAAAAAGTGGTTTCTGCCGTTTATTGTTGTAGTTGTTGTTGCTGTCTGCTATATGCTTAGAGCTGTGTGTGTGTGCATACGCAGGGGCAGCGGGCGCGTCAAAGACAGTCAGTCGTTCAAAGTTGCACCAAAAGGAAACTCGTTTGAATGCCTTCTTTTTGTTGTGTTTTGCTTATTTCGTTTGTTGTTGTTGTTTTTGTGTGTGTTTTTTTTATTGCATTTGCATTTGTTTGGCATTCACAAATTTAAACGTTTGGATTTTGTCGTTACTTTTTGTTGTTGCTTAGCTTAGTTGTTTCACCACTTCGCTTTAAACAATTTCAAAATATTTGAAATATTTATAAAAACAATGCAAATGCACACAATCTTGAAGCTTTAGCGTGTGGAAAATCGTGATTTATTGCATTTTATTTGATTTATTTAAAAAATTTTTTTTTTTTTGTTAAATCTTGCAACGTGTTCACTTCGAGCTTTTTCACACAGTCTTATTATTTTTTTTTGTATGAAAAAATATTTTTTCGAATGCTAAAACATTCCTTTATTTTCTTACTTTTAAAAAAATCTTTAATCATGTGAGATTTCTTGCTATTTTCATACCAATTCCTCTTCACACAAACGCGCACACGCCGTCGTCTTTAAGCACATAACGTTTTTTTCAAGTCACTTAAATGTTTGGCATTTCATTACCAAACATCAACACCGTTACTTTTCTTCCGTATCTTCTTACCAACTCGGCCGACAGTCGTCGAAGAACTGAAATGTCTCGCACAAAGTTGAATTCAAGACCGAAATATAACACAAACATACACATGGCAATGTGTGCTCTCAAACACACACACTTATACGTCTTGATATCGTCTTGCAGCGCTTTGAATTTCTTGCCAGCCAGCTGTCTTGAGTGCTATTTTCTGATTGTGCTTTGTTGTTGTGCCACGCTGTGTGGCTACAGCACGCGAGTATCTTCCAGCAGCATGCGATGCACAACGCACACCGACACACACACATACAAGTATGCCCAGCTGTGAGCAAGCAATCTCACCTGTGTGCTGTATGCCTTGTGAACGCGCTCTGCTGCTCAATTGGCGCGAGTAAGTCACTCTCTGTGCATCTCAGCAGACAGCTCAGGAAAAACTTTGTGCATTTCATTTGTGTGTAAGTGCCATTGCATATGTCGCGTGCATTTGCTCGTGAAAAAGTAGTTATTTATGAGAGCGCGCGAGTGTTTATCTTATTTGCTTGTGTAAGAGAGCGTAATTTCTTTGGCTAAATGGCTTCTTATTCTCTGTTGTTTAATAAGACACATTTTGGTAACTATTTTCTGCTACTCACGGGGAAGTTTTAAGCAATTGCGGGAATTTTCGTTATGTGGCATTACTGGCGCTAGAGCACGGTCTTTACTGATTTAGCGTTTCGAACAGGTGTTAAGGGTTACCAAACCTAAATTTGTGATGGAGAAAAACCTTTTCTTGTATTACTAATGACAGGTTATATCAAAAAGTTGGAGTTATTTGCCGCTTCGACTTTCAGAGCAAAAATCACGACTTAATTGGGTTTATGAATATTTTCATGATTTTTTTGTTTACAAAATATAAACTTTTTTAAGAAAAACATGTACCATAGTATTAAACAGTATTGCGCATCTGAAGCTATAACATTTTCTTATCCTTCTGGCAATTTGTGGCATCCATCCCATCCCATCCAAGAAAGAAACGAGCCAGTTTTTAATACCCTGTTCTGAGGTGAACTGTTTTCCATTGCGGGCATTCTGCAACGACCGAAACAAATGTTTTCTGCTTTACCGTGGATTTCGCTGGTTGACCAGGGTTCACATATACCATAATTTTTTATGTTTAGGGTTAAGGTTTAGGTCCTAAGGTATAAATTTCTCACCGCCAGTCACAAGTCGATGTAAAAACGACATCTTTTTGTAGCGTTCAAGCAGCATTTCTGACATGTAAAACCGTCTTTCAAGTAATAAGTTACGCCATCTCTTGATAAACCGCACAAATACAGTTATATATCTCATATAAATATTATGATAGATATTTCTTATCTTCGAATACCGTATACTAATTTGTCTCATAAGAGAGAATATTTCATCAAGATATATAACAAGAATGTGATTTTTTTTTCGCAGTACAGATGTTCATTTTGAGATGAGTTCAGTGGTGGTAGGCACATATGTTTGTATAAGAAAATACTAAAATATTTACATTAATTTCGAACTATAGAAATTTGTTTGACTGTATGTACATTACATTATAACATATAAATAAATTTAAATAGCCAACGACCGCTAAATATTTGATTAAACGTCTCTTGCCATTACTTATCTAAACACTTTTATATTTCCTAAGAAGTATTCTCTGGTGTCGTAATGCTATCACAATAGTAAATAATACTTACATCACAGATGCAAATAAAAGGAGTAAGAAAGTTCTACACACAGTGAGAGCGTGACGTATAGAGATAAAATAGTGTATTGTTTACAAAGTTGTTGTTGTTGTTAAACGAACTACAAGCAAATTTCAGTTACTTACACTGAATAAATTTTAATCGTGGTGTAATATTCTACTTTCATTGTAGCAAAGTAGTGATAACGGCTGTTTAAATATTTGTGGAATATTTATTATACAAATATGGTATATATAACATTTATTGATGCAGCAGTCACGACTTTTAGGGTCACAGTGTAAGCATATGAGTGATAGCTGGCGTCTTTTTGGGAATTATTGTGTTATACCTATATCTAAATACAAATATAATATGTATTGTAATAACTATTATTTTAAGGATTTAATATGTACCAATGAGCCCAATTCAACCGAGTTGGAGGTTAGAACTTATAAATATATCTTCCATAAAATATCTTCCTATGGTTATTAAAATGCTTCTTTAAGACTTTTTATAGAATATTCATTTTTACTTTCAAGTTCGATATCCCTATTTTGTCTGCTATTGACCTTAAATAATATTATATTATTATTAATAGTTGAAACAACTGACCAAATTTGACGCAGAAAGGACCAGATTTAAACTGCGCGCGCAAACCGAATCAATAAAAGTTTTTATTCCTGATTTTCTTTACTATTTTTTCACCAGTGAAGCTCGTGAAGTCATCGAAATCCCTCCTAATGCGTGTCTTCCGTAAGCCTCTGTTGTATATGTTGTCTGTAAGACAATTATTGTCGACAAAGTTAAAGAAACAGTGCTCAAAAATCGTCGTGTTGGCATCAGAGAGATAGCAGAGAATCTCGACAGCCCATATTATTATGGATTAACTCAACACCTTTTTGGATAATGTTTTGGGTGGTAGTGGGTTTATGAATATTATGTCGAAATTGTGCAATAATTTAGCGAAGAGCACTCCAAAAATGAGGCGAAACCGAAAAAAACTAAAAGTGAATGGTAAGTTGGAGTCAAGAGCCTATTTTTAAGGCGATAATAAAGATTTGTATTAAAATATGTGAAAGTATTTCTTTGATCAATCCGCGTCAAATTTGATCAGATAATTATTCGAGACTTTTTCAAGAAAATATTGGTAAATTATTCTCTGAGAGTTGAGTCCTCAAATCCATTTCATATATTAGTATTTCCTTTTAATAAGAATAGTTGCTACAAATAGCTTTATTAATTAGAAATTTTATAAAATAATAAATAAAATACTAACCGATTCATCTGATCCTGTATTGTTCTAAGAATAAACAAATAACTATAAGATTGATGATAAAAAATGCTATAGCTTTCATACTTTTTGGAATAAATATTGTATATGTATTATAACTTGTGCCTTTCAGGGCAAGAACATTATATGGTAAAATAATGCTAGACCCCTCATGAGTCTAAGAATCTATTTGATTTTTAATATTTTGTCCTATATTCTTCAGTTTTGATAAATTGTTTAAGTCACAATCAAAATAAAATTTATAAAAAGAACTTTTCAGAACTGTTTAAATGATAATGTTGTATTTTCATATGGAAATTCAGCTCTAAGACATACAATTGACACCACAAAAGCGACTTGAAACAAAAAAATCGAATTTTTAAGTAAACATTACCATTTTTTATATTATTTGCATTTAATATCAAATTTTTTATAGTTTGTTCGAAAGTGTTGGCGATACAGCTTTTTACATAATTTTTACACATTATCGCTCATATACAAAAGTTATACCATGGGTATAAAATATACATAATTTTTTCAAAAGACATTTCAACTCAAATTATTTTTGTATTTATACTCAGTATTGCGAAGTGAATCTCAAAATTTAATTTTTTTTCCAGTTTCATTCCAATATTCTTATTGTAAGTTATTCAAGTTCGTCGCTTAAATCTTTCATTCAACGGAATGTCCTCCTGTTGTACTTTATGCGTAGAGACACACGCCTCTTCAATATATGTGCATATGTATGTATGTATTTAGTGGTGCATGTGTGTGTGTATATTTGTTTGTAGACGCATTCCTTAAGGCATACACGTGTCACAACAAAAAGCATATGGACCAAGGTAACAATAATAGGCGAGCGACAGCAGCAACAGACAACAGTCACAACAACAGCCACGCAATAACAACAACAAAGCAATTTACGCAAGTACAGCTAAACTAAATCACTTGAGTCGCTCCTTATTGTGGCAGTCCACTTACGCGCACTGATTACGTGTGTCCGTCCATCCGTCCGACCGAGCGACTGACAGCAATAACGCGCCAACGCACTTCACCTCAAAATTATTTACAGACGATTTTGTAAATAATTTTCATTTAAAATGAAACACTGAATGCGACCGAGTAAACGAGCAACAACAAAAACAAAACGATAATAAAAAAGATCTCAGACTAAATAAATTAATAAAACAATAACAATAAATAAGTGCATAAAATATGAGTTGATTTCAAGAGTTAAATGTTGAGACAATAAAATAACGAATGAAATAATATATTGCAGCTGCCGAAAGCACAAACAACAGTTACAGTAATCGCCCAAAACGTGTTTAATTTCCGGAACTGAATTTTTTATGCGAATTCGCCTGCAATTGCCCGACAGGCAACAGCAGAGGCGGCTGCTAAATTTAGAAAAGCGCATTTTGGAAATAAACGCGTTAAATTACGAAGCAAAAAGAAGAAAGGAAAACGGTGTAGTAAGTGTTAATGAAGGCCAAAAGGAGGCAAGTAAAGTGAAATGCAACAAAAAATTCAAAATAATAATACTTTAAATGAAGAAAGGGCGCTTACACTGCTGCAGGGGCGCACATATCGCCTGAAACATTTGAATCAGCGCTGGAGTCGTAATTTATGGTATACATATGGACGCATGCGCGGCAACTCATTGCATCTGCTGACGTTGATTTCACGTGAAATTTTCTTGATCACTCCGCGTGGCGCGTCCACAGCCGCCTCGCCTGCTGATAAGCATAACGAATTCGTGTGCGTTAAACGCCACGCTACGCCCGCTTGCTACTACTGCCTTCAATTTGAGGCTGGCGCTGATTAGTCAGCGGCTGCCGAATTGCTGCGTTTTTACACTCTTTTTGTGGTTTTATTGTTGTTGCTTTTTCAATTTTTTATTTTCCTTTTTTTATATTGGTACAACTCATAAGTGGTTGTGGTCAACAAGCTGTAGTCTGGCTTGTACCCGCGACTGCTGCACTCGATATGCTTCACTTCTTTCATGCCAATACGCTGCTGTCACTGCGTTAAATTGTTGTTATTATATTTTTATTGCTTTTATTTGATTTGATTTTTAATTTTTTAAATTTTTTTGTATTCTTTTGTAGGAAAACACGAAATGCTTGCTGCTG